TAACATAAACAGTTTTCACATCCTGGGACTTGGGGGTTGGGCATACAGAATGCCTTTGAGTGGATTCCAACTTAGGGACCTTATCGGACACAGTAGAACTGCCCTATAGCCTGACATCGTTACAGAAGCGGACTGTCTGATCTTTCTCCCACTGAACCACTGGTGGATTCTAACCACTGACCTTTTAGTTAGAAGCTAAGCACTTAACCATTGCACCACCAGGGCTCCTTAGAGGTTGGGCAGTAGAGTGAAAACAGGAGAGGTGGGAGGGACCAGGGTAGTCAATACTTTTCTATCATTGGCCAACTAAAAGGCTGTTGAGACCCAATTTGTAGCCACACAGCAGTCCAGCAGGGAGAAGGTGCAGCTCCTGCAGAAAGTTCGGGGGGAGGGGGGGCGGTCTTTCTTTCATATCCACCCCCTCCAGTTGGGGAGGTGCCCTTTGCCTGGGATATCCCCTATCAATTTTCAGATCACTGTGTTTTGTTCAAAGTTCCCTGGTTGGCACTAGTAACTGCACTTGACGAACCGAAACTTACCCAGCAGCCACATGGGAAGAAACCTAGTGATCTGTTCCCATAAAGATGATGCTTCTTGTTAGATGCCATTAACTTGATTTTGACTCATAGTAACCCCACATGACAGAGTAGAGCTCCTCCAGAGGGGTTTCTAGGTTGTTATCTTTGTGGATGTTTTTTCATGAGGATGACACAGGACCCAGCAATAGTTTAGTTACACAATGAAACCTGTGAGAGCCGGAACTTAATGGGAATGCTTTGTTTTTCTAGGTCTTGCAAGTTAGTTTTCTTCCTTTGATATTTACCACTTTTATTTCCCCCCCAGCCTCCCCCCCCCACACACACCCGCTTTGGTCTGAATTTATTTCAAGAGGTAGCATATGATCAAGAGCTGATGATATTGAAGAAAACAGTCCAAGTTGCATTGAAGGATCTGGCGAAGAACAAGACTCTATTCACCAGTAGCATAGAAATTGAAATGTTTAAATAAACAGGTCACTCTGCAGGTTCTTACATTCACTCATCTATGCCAAGAAACTGGACATACAACAACTTGGACAACATATTGGAAGAGATCCATATTTATCGCCATTCCAAAGAAAGAGGACCCAATAGAATGTGGAAGTCATTGAGCAATATCATTAATGTCACATGCAAGTAAAATTTTGCTGGAGATCATTCAAAAATGGTTGCAGCAGTTCACTGACCAAGAGCTGCCAGGAATTCAAGCCAGATTTAGAGGAAGATGTGTAATCAGGGTTGTCTTTACTGATGTCAGATGGATCTTGATTGAAATCAGAGACTACCAGAATGATGTTTACTTGTGCTTTATTGACTATGTAAAGGCATCTGAATGTGTAGATCAAAATAAACTATGGATGTCAGTGTGAAGAATGGAGATTCCAGAATACTATATTGTACTCACGAGGAATCTGCACATAGGCCAAGGAGATACTGAATAGTTAAAAATCAGGGTTGTATTCTTTCATTGTACTTATTCAGTCTGTATGCTGAGTATATAATCTGAGAAGCTGGATTATATGAATAAAAACATGGCATCAGGATTGGAAGAAGACTCATTAACAACCTGTGATATGCAGATGACACAACCTTGCTTGCTGGAAATGAAGAAAACTTGAAATATTTACTGATGAAGATCAAAGAATACAGCTTTCTGTATGAATTGTACCTTAATGTAAAGAAAACAAAACTTGTCACTTCTATACCATAACATGATAAATGGAGAAAAGATTGAAGCTGTCAAAGACTTGATTTTGCTTGGATCCACAATCAACACTCATGGAAACAACAGTCAACAAATGAGAAGACATATTGCATCAGGCAAATCTGCTGCAAAAGACCTCTTTCAAGTGTTAAAGAACAAAGATGTCACTTTGAGGACTAAAGTATTCCTGACCCATGATATTTTCAGTCACCTCATATGCATGTGGAGTCCTGGTGGGGTTCTGAAGGGTAAGCACTGGATCACAAGATTGGTTTGAACTGCAAGGTCAGTGATTCCAACTCACCAGCCACTCCTTGGAAACCCTACATAGGGTTGCTATAAGTCAGAACCGACTCAATGACACTTACCAACAACATATGCAAGTGAAAGCTGGAGAACGAATAAGGAAGACCGAAGAAAAAGTAATGCATTTGAATTGTAGTGTTGGAGAAGAAGATTGAAATGATCATGGACTGGCAGAAAAACAAGCAAATCTGTGTTTGAAGAAGCGCAACCAGAATGCTTCTTAGAAGACAAGATGGTGAGATTTCATCTCTCATTCTGTAAATGTTGTCAGGAAGAATCAGTTGATGGAGAAGAAAGGACATCATGCTTGGAAAAGTATAGGGGCAATGAAAAAGAGGAAGACCCCCAATGTGATGGACTGACACGGTGGCAGCAAGAGTGGGTTCAAACAAACAATTGTGAGGGTGGCATAGGACTAGACAGTGTTTTGTTCTGTTTTGCACAGGGTTGCTATGAGTTGGAACCAACTCAATGGCACCTAACAAGAACAATGCTTCACCACATCTGTGGATATGTGTGCAGCGAAGGGAAATACTTCTTTACAAACATCCTTGCCAAATCTTAAAACTTTTGTAAGTATACTCCAATTTTCCCTCCCTCATTAGTTCAATTCACTGTTATTGCAGGATTGTATCCATAACCATAATTACGTCATTTCCTTGAAGTCTTGGCTCCCCCACCTCGTGTCTCCTGCCTTCATCATTCTTTTTTGAACCTTCTCCTTCACCCAGGTTGAAATGTGTCTACCCTCTGGCCAGTTTTGGCCCTTTTCTGTAGCTCTTTATTGTTGTTATGAAGTGCTGTCGAGTAGGTGCCGACCCATAGCGACCCTGTATAGGGTTTCCGAGGAGCAGCTGGTGAGTTTGAACTGCCAACCTTGCAGTTCAAATGGCTTTACAGTCTGGTGCATTAACCCACAGCGGCATACCAGGACTCCTAGCTCTTTATTAGAGGACAATATATGAGTTTTCTTTGTCTGCCAGGCTTCCGTCTTTCACAAGCTCCAGATCTTGCAGGTTTTACTCTACATAGGGTCACTGTGAGTCAGAATTGACATCATGACATCTAACAACAACACTTTTTATGGGAGCAGATCTGCTGGTCTTTGTCCCGAGAAACCTCTGGGTAGGTTTGCACCTTCAGCAGTCAAGTACTGAACCACTGCACCACCAAGCTCCTTTTCATAGAACAATTCTACTTTGTGACATACGAGGGCACCATGAGTTGGGGTCGGTGGCAATGGGTTTGGTTTACTGTTTTGTTTCCACATGGTGTTGGTCATTAAGATTAGCTCAGACTACATCCCCTGTCCCCTCAGCCTTCCTGACTCTGCCCCCTGCCCCCAGCCTCTGTCCCTCTTCCCATCCTGTCCTATGGAGCTGGGAAGGTCTGTGTTTGGCTTTACTTCTCCCAGGGACTGAGCACATAGGACAGCTGGGATTCACAGGTTCAGACCAAGACTGGCATCCAGAGGGCTCAGGAGAACAGTAACCATGTCAACCGGCTTCACCCATGATGAGGCAGAAAGTCAGGGACCTGAAATGTCAGACTCTGCCCTAGTCCCAGTCCCAGCCCCAGGTGGGTGAGGACCAAGAGCGCAGAGACATAGGCTAGAGGTAGGGGCCCAAGGTAGATATTTTGGGGACCCTGTGGTTCCAGCCAGGTTCCATGGATTTGATGACTGCGGATTCAGGGTTAAAAGGACCCCTGACCACCTTCTGCAGGAAGGCTGGGACACAGTTTCTGGAAGGGTTAATGAGGTGTAAACTCAAACTTTTTGGTGAGGAGGCTCAGATACAAGTTGGAGCCTTGGACAAGTGATTGAGCTTTTCTTAGCCTCTGGTTCCCCCCTGTAAAATGGGGGCATTGTTACCCTAACGTGAGGGTCGTGAGAATATTGTCCTTGTTCCTTGCACTTAGTAAGTTATTCTTTTTATTCATCCATTCATTTATTTTTAATTATTTTTTTCTTGCTTTCATCCAGCAAATATTTATTGCCTCCGTGGTAGAAGGAGGTGGGAAATCCACTTGTCAAGGTCCCCGGCTGTGCCCAGTCTTTGCTGACAGGACATGCCTCATTTTCAGCTCACAAGGTAGTGGGGAAATACTTTCCACTGTCAGCTCCAATGGACACATATGAAAGCAGGGGTGTGGGTGGCAGGTGTGGTGTGGGACACCAGGCTCCAGGGCTCGGGCTGAACAGGGGGCTGCAGGGCTGGTCCTTCGGCCACCACAGCTATAGCCAACAGGGCTCCTACCACAGGGCATGGCTCCTGGCAGACAGATGGGATTGGGGCAGAATGGTGGGCCCCAGCTCAGATCTTCTCCACGTAGTTTCCAGGGAAGAGGCCCTCCTGGCCATGTAGCCGGCCCTTCCACCAGCCTGAGGGATCTGAGGGAGAGAGGGGAGTGAGCATGGGGAGAGAAAGTCCAAGCTGTATCTGTCTTATTCATCTCCGTGTGCCTAGCCTGGACTGAAGAGTTACCAGTTCAGCTGATGGACAGACAAAGGAAGGAGAGAAAGAAGGATGGACGGACACATGCCTGGTCTTCCCTAGCCACTATTTCACACTCAGTCATTCTCTAGGACATTTCCTTGTATTCTTCCCTCATTCATGTTCTCCCACAGAGTCTCTCCCCAAAGTCCCAGGAATGACCAGGACTCTGACCCTCAGATTGGTTGTCCATCTACTTGCCAACCAACCCATACTGACTCAGAGAGACCTCATGTGTACCAGAGCAGAACGACTCCATAGGATGTTTAGTAGCTGAAACCTTTTGGAAGTAGATGGCCAGGTCTTTCTTCCAAGGTGCCGCTGGGTGGGTTCCAACCACCAACCTTCTGGTTCGTAATCACATGCTCACTACCCTGAACTCCAGTTATAGAGGGTGCTAGTATTTATTGCATCCTCGCACAACCACACACCTCCTCTACACAGGGGCTGCGTGGGGTAGTAATCTCTACTGTTAGGCCTGCGTTTGGCAGGTGGGGAAATTGAGGTTCAGGTACTGGGTGTGATGTGGGGAAGCTAGGCCCCACAAATTGGGTTAGGAGGTGACCTCCAGACACAGGTCCTTGAGCTGTTCCCACATGGAGGGCTGCCTCCCCCCAGCCTCGGCCCTGGCACACACCTTCCAGGAGGATGTCGATGACCTCATTCACGTTGAAGCTCAACTCATCCACGTCTTGGCCTATGTATTGGTATAGCGCGCGGCAGCGAGGGCCATGTGTCCGAGGTTGGGGCTTGGGACGGCCCACGCCAGGCACAGGTCGCTGCCCAATGCTGCGCTTCCTCTGCATGCTGGGGGCACGGGGGTTGCTCGTCATGGCCCCAGACACTGCCTCGGCCCCTGCCCACCACTGGGGCTGCTGACCCCCCCACCTACCCGGCTACACCCTGGTCAGGCACGTTGAGGAATTCTGTGTTGTGCTCCACGGGTGGCCGTTCCCGGGGGCGCCTGTTGGTTCCCTGTGCTGAGGCTGGAGGGCCCTGTGGAGGCCGCTGAGAACCCCGTCCAGAAGTGAATTCCATGGGAAGGGGGTTCCCTCTGGCAGAGAAGGGCATCCCGTTTCGATCCAGGCCTGTAGTGAGAACATTTATCAGACTAATGCTAGGTAGAGTAGGGGACCCAGCTCCTGGTTCCCAATTTGAGAGAGGAGGCAGAACACGTGGTAAGGACTGGGCCAGAGGGAGGGACAGAGGAAGGAGGACTTAGGAAGAGGAGGAAGCCTGCTAACCCTCCTCTGTAGGAGGGCTTTTGTGGATGGGTCTTGGAGAATGAACAGATGTACAGTAAGTGGAGTGGGAATTGGTGAGACAGAGAATAGCTCAACCAGAGGACTAGAGAGAAGAACATGTTTTGTTGGTAAAATAGTATGCAACTCTCATAACACAAGTGTGGGGCGGGAGACAAAAGGTCACTGGTCAGATGGGGTCATAGTCTGAGGAGTTTGGATGGCCAAACTAAGTTTAGCTTTATTCTGCAGGTGACGGGATAGAGAAGAACGAAATGGTCAACTCTGCTTGTTATATCCCAGTGGTTGAAGTTCTGGCGTAGACCATGGAGCCCACAGGAAGCAGAAGAAGACACATAGTTGGGGGCATCCCTTACCTCTGGGAGGCCCGGGGGCTGCTCTCACAGGAGCCTGGGCTGACCTTCGGGGTTTCCCCTGAGCCATTCCCTTCCGAGTAGGCTCTGCAAGGGGACGGGGTGTAGGGATTTGAACAGCCACATAGCCTAGGTTGTTGTGCCCTCCCAGAGTCTAGTCCTCTCTGTGACTCCGCCCCTTCAGACTCCACCCCTTCCAGGCTCTGCCATTCCCACTATCCCTCAATTACTAAAGCCCGGTCTCAGGCCTCACCCTCACAATGTCCACCTCTCATGGCTATTGGTCATCCTCACTGATTGTCTCTCTAGCTATGCCGCCTCTACATTTCTTGTCTGCTCATTAGTAACCTTACTCAAGGTCTTTGCTCTCTGTCAAACTCACTGCCCCGCCCACAGTCCTGATTGGCTCCCTCGCTGACCCTGCCTTCTACAGGTCCCGCCCCCTCCTGACCACTTTTATGGCTCCGCCCCTCCATTTCCCGCAGACTCACTGGAATTCTTGGGCAGTCCGTCACCCACGCTGACCGTGAGGGTCTTGCCACCAGCCTTGAGCATAGCCACGTCGCCCGAGCCACGAGAGAAAGTGACATTGCGGGTACCGCCCCCGCCCCAACCCTCCTTCTTCACCCGGAACTGTAGTCTGTGGGGAGGGGAGAAAGTTGTAGGGGTGTAGACCAGGGTTTCCTCCCACCTCCCCACCACTGGGCCAGGACGTGTGGAGTAAAGGAGGGGCCGTACGTGTCGCTGAAGGTGAGGGGCAGGGGCTGCCGGGCCACCTCCTCGAAGCGCTTGCACAGGAGGCTGAGGAACTCGGTCTTGAAGATACTCTCCAGGAAGCTGTCGGCGGCATCCTCTTGGAGGATGAAGAAGTCGTCTTGCCGAGTGCTGGGGAAAAGTAGGAGGAAGGGCAGGTGAGGGTGACAAATGAGACATAGATGAGAGTAATAAGACACAGGAGAGGGTGACAGGTGAGACACAGGAGAGGGTGCCAGGTGAGATGCAGGTGAGGGTGACAGGTGAGACACAGGAGAGGAGGACAGGTGAGAAACAGGTGAGGGGGACATGTGAGACACAGGAGAGGGGGACAGGTGAGACACAGGTGAGGGGGACAGGTGAGACACAGG